GGCTTCAACACATCCGTCGATGCAGCCAGAACTGCCGCCAAAACAATGGAGGTAGAGCGGGTTCGAATGGACTGCAATGAAAGTCCAACTGGACGGCCGGCTCAAACAGACGAACAAAATCAACCAGAGGATCAGCTGCCTGAACGTACCAGGGAAAGGCTACGAGATCTCAAAAGAGCGATTCACGGTGGCATGTGTGCCTACACATGCCCGTTCGCCACCAAGGCTGAGAATTTGAACACCCTTTTAGGGCTGATTTACAAGAGAGTCGCTGCAAGCAACATCATCAAGTCAAACCTCGATCATGAAAGAGAAATCAGTCACCCCTTAGGGCTCACGATGGGAGCTTTCACAGAGGTTAGGCAGCCTGTTGTGAAGCAGGTCACGGTTTACTCTCCTGATCACAACACAAAAGACTCCCATCCCCAGAAACCCGGGGAGATCTGTGCGACTGCTCCTGAGTTGGAGGGAATCCGGAGAGTAATGGATACTCCGCGGTCACTGGCTGAAATGGCCTCAGCTGTAGGGCGAGTCCTACGATGGAGGGAGCAACTCCTCTCCGAGTCACACAGCAGACATCGGGCGCATGATTACCAGCAACGGTTTAAAGACGTGTTACGTGACATTGAATCCGACCAACAAGCAGACATAAAAGAATCCAGCCTTTTCGACTCTTCTAATTATCTGGGTAATCCTGAGTTGGCAAATGTGTACAAACCCGAGATCCAGGATATATTTGTTTCGGGAAGCGTAAGTGAAGGTACTGAGGTGCATGTCACCAAGTATGACCCATACGATGATGCTAAAACAGTTGAAGCGTTTGAGTGGGTGAGTGAAGACGGCTTTGCCATGCCGCATTGGATTGACAGGAGAGAGGAGCGGATGGCGACAGGGGAGGGAGAATCATCAAGCGATACCGCACCATCTGCTCTTACATTCGTTAATGCATCTGACATTGACTTCATGCTTCTAGCCAGACCAGTGAAATGGGACAAAGGACCGCTGCGGCTGAGGGACTCTGGCAGCTCTAACTCTTCAGAGAAGACGTCACGTTTCAGTGAGTCCTCCGACAGAGAGGCGGTTGGCTCCCAAACAAAACAGAACGGTTCCGCCACCGTGGAAAATAAATCCAATGGAACAGGCAGCACAGGAGCAGACAGCTCCGACAACACTTTGACCCTCCATGTAGAGGAAGTCACAGATAAGCCGGGTTTCGTGTACATCAATCAGGTTCTCCGGCGGGAGGGCGACACCTCTGTCGGACGTGAATTCACATTAGAATATCTCAAATCACATATAGCCAAAGCTATGGAAGGATATGTGGAGAGCGTTACAAACTATATCGGGCCGAACATTGGAGTAACCCTCATTGGTGACAGCATTGACCTCGTCCCCTGTCTCAAGTACTCCGGGAGGGTCAGTGACGAGTTCGTGAACCGAGAGCGACCGTCGGGGCAGCCGAGCAAAGACTTGGTTGATAGGATGCTGAAGATGCCCATTTACCTGGTCCAAACGGGTCGTAAATTTGGAGTGTGCTGAGCGGAGTGCTCTGCCATGCTTTTTCTCTCCTGAGATCAACCTGTGGTGTGACAAAGGTTTCGAAAAAGGTGCGTTGGGTATCGAAAAATTAGCAATGTTAAGGCTACGAGTGCTGCTGCCGCGCGCCATCCAGCTGCTGTTGGCTGGTCTGCTGAGCTCGAGCCAGGCGCCGCTGATGCGCCACCTGCTGAACCTCCCTCTGGACGCGCAGCAGATGCTCTGGTGCTGCTGGAAGCGCAAACTCGACGACCCCTACCCGACGGATCCGGATAATGAAGGGAAGATTAACCCGAGGAACTTGTGCTGCCGGCTGTACCCGGCGGCGGTGGAGGGCCGCCTCTGGTCGGAGCGGTTCCTCGACACCTTCCGGTGGGAGTCGCTGCCGGCGCGCTGCAGGGAGCCCGACTGGTTCGCCGAGCATGGCCGGGACACGGACAGCGAGGGAGAGGAGGAAGAGGAAGATAGAAAGGACACAGACGGAGAGGGAAAGGAGGAAGATAGAAAGGACACAGACGGAGAGGGAGAGGAGGAGGAAGACAGAGAGGACAAGGACGGAGCGGGAGAGGAGCAGGGCGCCGTGACCGGCGCGATGAAGACTGGAAGTGGGAGCGGGGACACCGCCGACACAGCTGAACAAGGGGGAGAGGAAGCGAGGAAGAGGGACCCGGACCACTGGCGGATCCAGGGGGGGGCCACGGGGGCCATGGCCCCCCCCCCCCAAAGGCCTCAAGTGGCCTGTTTGGCCCCCCCCCAAAAACGCCAGAAAAATTGCTAAGAAAATATACCTTGATGGAGGTTTTTAGCCACTTGGTGAAGTAAAGCTTTCCAGAGCATAATATGGAAGCAATATAGTAGCAGTGAGGGTCAGTCAAAAGTTGCGCGAGCGGAGTCGACCTTAAAAAAAAGACTGTTGTTGGCACGTGTTTATGGCGCGGCAGCTGGTAGTTGGCGGTGTTTCGCGTGGTGTGGCATCACTGGCGGATCTGGGGGGGAGGGGGGGGGGGGGCACGGGAGCCTGAGGTGCCCCTGACAGGCCCGTGGTGCCCTTGCTAGGCCTGTGGTGCCCCTGGACCCTGGCAGGCCTGTGGCACAGTCCACAGCAGAAGTAATGTGGGGTTTCAGTCATGGGTATGTTCTGCTTCTGAAGCTTAGGAACGATTAGCCAGACTACAATGAAACTTTGAATGTAGCTTATATGTATCGTCACCCTTGCAGCTGCAACTTTAGCTATTGACATCTTCTTTTCAATCACTTCGCATTAAACAATCGCCAGTCAAAGCCAACCGTTGAGTTTGGTAAAACCCTACATTACTTTAGCGGTGGGCTGTACCTCTGGCGGGCCTAGGGTGCCCCTGCTAGGCTGCTGATGCCCCTGGGACCTGACAGGACTGTGGTGCCCCTGACAAGCCTAAAGTGCCCCCAACAGGCCCGTGATGCCCCCGACAGGCCCAAGGTGCCCCTGCGTGATGCCGTGATGCCTGCGAGGCCGGTGGTGCCCCCTGCGAGGCCGGTGGGGCCCCTGACAGGCCCATGGTGCCCCTGCTAGACCGGTGGTGCCCCTGGCAGGCCTGTGGTGCCCCTGCTAGGCCGCTGGTGCCCCTGGGCCCTGACAGGACTGTGGTGCCCCTGACAGGCCCAAGGTGCCCCTGCAAGGCCGGTGGTGCCCCTGTAAGGCCTGTGGTACCCCTGCTTGGCCTCTGGTGTCCCTGACAGGCCCATGGTGCCCCTGCGAGGCCGGCGGCGCCCCTGGCAGGTCTCTGGTGTCCCTGACAGACCTGGGGTGCCCCTGACAAGCCTGTGGGGCCCCTCACAGGCCCGTGGTGCCCTTGCTAGGCCTGTGGTGCCCCTGGCGGGCTGGTGGTGCCCCTACTAGGCCGGTGGTGCCCCTGACAGGCCTGTGGTGCCCCCGGGCACCAAGGGGGTCATGACCCATGTGGCCCCCCTTGGATCTGCCACTGATGCATAATATATTGATTTGTAAAGGCGTTATGGCTTATGCAATATGCAATTGCAGGCACTTGGTATCCCTCACTTATCCCTCATTGGGGCTCTGGCGGGCTCCTGAGGGCCCACGTCTATCTCCGGGAGCCCATATAGACAGGCTCCTTTGGGTCCTTTCAGTACACTATAGCATAAGAGGTCTCCATGCGAGTCCTATACATACATCTGAGGGCGTACCCTGATGTCTGAGGTACCCAACTGCAGCTCCAATGGTCTCTTCTTACACTGGCGGATCCAGGGAGGGGGCATTTAGGGCCATGCCCCCTTCCCAGAGGCCTAAAGTGGCCCGTTTTCCCCCTCCCCCAAACGATAATGAAACATAGTTCAATCAGGGCGTGGCCCAGGAGCCGAGTTAGACAGGGCTGTTTTACCACCTCCCGGCCCGCAAAGGGACCCAAGCACTGACTCGAAGCGGGTTAAAGAGACCCTCTCACCTTCAAAAAAAGTTAATGAATTGGCATGAAAGTGATGTCGCTAGGTTCAGAAAGGGCGAAAACGAATATCTACCAAATTTTATCGAAAAATATTCACCGGTTTTCAAGAGATGAGACTTTTATTTTTGTTTACTTTTTGGGATATCCGCTGCTGTTCCTAGCGACTTTATTTGAAAGTGCGGCATTTGTTGCGCGCAAAGCAGCCTATACCACCGCATGCTACCAAACGTTTTAGTAAAATATTAAAAAATCAATTGATCTCCGCTGACGTCACACATTCAGAGGGGTATCCAAAAGCATTAGCCCCTCTGAATCAAAATGCTGCAATTTTGAAATTCAATATTTCCGATTTAAGGCATTTCTCGATGTTGTGAGTGCGTGCCGAAACCGGTAATTGTGAGCCAGGGACCCCATTTTGGCTATCTCAGCTCAAATCTAATATTAATGTGGGAGGGTCCCTTTAACTGGTCGATAAAAACAATGGTAAGTGTTCACAAAGTAATATAAAGGCATGGGTCGGGTGGGCTACCATTTATATATTTTTCTTTTTAGTTAACAAAAAATTCATAGTGTCAGGGCTGTGACGAAAAATAAGTGGCCTAAATCCGATGAGAAAACAGGATTTGGGGGTACCCTAGGTTTGGCTCCTGCATGAGTTGGCCCCCCCCCCCCAAAAAACGCAAGCCTGGATCCGCCAGTGACCCGGACATAGATGAAGAGAGTGCAAAGACTTCCAAAAAAGTGAGGCTAAACAGACCGAGATCTTTGAGAGGCGTCAGCGAGCAAAGTCCACCAGTTCAGTCGGTCAGACTCAGGGCCGACTTCTCTCAGTCAGTCGGACAGTCGGCCCCGCCCACTCTCCGTTTAAGCCCCGCACACTCTCCGTCCAAGCCCCAGCCTATTCTCTTAACAGCTCCCACCTATTCCCCATCTACTCTCCATACAAGCCACGCCTTCCTTTCACACAAGCCCCGCCTACTCCCCATAAAAGCCCCGCCCACTCTCCCCACAAGTCCCGCCCTTTTCTCACCCGGGCTGCAGGAGGTCGTAGCAGCGCAGGACAGCCATCTCCACGTAGAGCCGAGCCACCAGCTCTCGAATGGAGGCGATCTTGTAGAACCAGTTGCGGCACGTCTCGCGGCCGGCCTCGGTCACCAGGTCACCACCAGGTGGCGCCGCTGGTGAACTGACACCGGACGGGGTCAGCCATAGGGTCACAGCAATGCTGTTCGCGCTATAGGGCAACGGGCAGGTGAGAAGAGCCATAATTGTACACAATTAACACAAGTGCGACGGCTCTCGAGTCCAGCTGCCGACCTGCAGTTCCCGGGGCCCTGTTTCACGGCACGGCGCCACCAGGCGTTGGACAAACGTCGTGCGCAGTCGCCGCAGAATAAAGCCGTTATGAGCTGAGCTTGCACATGAGCACGCACGCACGAACACACTAACAAGCAGCACGCACGCACGCACACTAACAAGCAGCACGCACGCACACACCCAATTAAATCTTTGTGTACTTATAATTCTCAGCTTATTACCTCAGCTCAACATTAGGGGACCCCCTACATTGTGCCCCTCAGTTACATACATATCCCTTCCCTGCCTTTGTATGTGAATCTCCCCATTCCTTATCCCTAGGGTGAATCTGCCGTACCCCTCAGATCCTTACCCCTGCTCCTTATCCTTGGTGGTGACTCTGTTGTAGACGAGCGTCCCAAACACATCCAGGATGTCTGTCACCAGGACAAACACTGTGGGGTAGAACTGGGCGGAACCCACCTCCTCCAGCAGCTTACAGGCCTGTCGGAGAGAGAAAGAGGGAGAGGGAGAGGGAGAGGGAGAGAGAGAGAGAGAGAGAGAGAGAGAGAGAGAGAGAGAGAGAGAGAGAGAGAGAGAGACAGAGACAGAGACAGAGACAGAGACAGAGACAGAGACAGAGACAGAGAGAGAGAGAGAGCGAGAGAGAGGGAGAGAGAGAGAGAGAGAGAGAGAGAGAGAGAGAGAGAGAGAGAGAGAGAGAGAGAGAGAGAGAGAGAGAGAGAGAGAGAGACAGACAGAGACAGAGACAGAGACAGAGACAGAGACAGAGACAGAGACAGAGACAGAGACAGAGACAGAGACAGAGAGAGACAGAGACAGAGACAGAGACAGAGACAGAGACAGAGACAGAGAGAGAGAGAGAGAGAGAGAGAGAGAGAGAGGGAGAGAGAGAGATGATCAGACCTGTGATGTAGGTTAGTACACATCAATCAGAAACAGAAAGCTTTTGTAAAGCCTCTACACGTCGGTGTTTCGTAATTGATGTTTTACACGATATTTTGACATTTGCGTGTAATCGAGTGTGAGGGCTGAAATATAGTGTGAGTGTGTGGTGCGAGGCATCACTATTATGCAATATGCTCGGCAATATGCAGGCGCAGGAACTACGCGACATGCCCTTCCTCGATACCTGCAAGACCAGTTTGATGGCCCTGGCCCGCTGTACTTATGACCAGGAGACAGTAGTACAATGTAGTACATACAATTGCGGGTATTATCATGGATGGCAGCTAGTACGAGGTTAACTATTGCAGGCGGTTTTGCCCCAGTACATACCTGTATGACCAGTTTGAGGGCCCGCACCCGCTGGTATATGTATAGTGTAGAACAGAGGCCCGGCACATACCTGTATGACCAGTTTGAGGGCCCCGTCCCGCCGGTATACACTGTAGAACAGAGGCCCGCACATACCTGTATGACCAGTTTGAGGGCCCCGTCCCGCTGGTATACAGTGTAGAACAGAGGCCCGCACATACCTGTATGACCAGTTTGAGGGCGCGCACCCGCTGGTCCGCCTGCCACGCCTGCTGGAGCTGCTTTCTCAGACGGCCAGTGTGGGCTGGCGGGACAACGGGGGGTGACGTCAGATACATGATATGACGCCAGATACAGGATATGACGCCAGATACAGATGCCAGGTCACTAACTTATGACTTGGTTGGGTCACTGACATAATATGACCTCCTTCCAGGTTACTGTCTTATAGCCAGTCAGATCACTGACCTATGAACTGAGTCACCGCCCCAAACTCCCGCCAGGTCACTGACCTCTGACCTCCCGCCAGGTCACTGACCTCTGGTCTGACCTCCCGTCGCGTTACTGACCTCTGACCTCCCGCCAGGTCACTGACCTCTGGTCTGACCTCTCGTCAGGTCACTGACCTCTGACCTCCCGTCGTGTCACTGACCTCTGACCTGCCGTCAGGTCACTGACCTCTGACCTCCCGCCAGGTCACTGACCTCTGACCTGCCGTCAGGTCACTGACCTCTGACCTCCCGCCAGGTCACTGACCTATGAACTCCTGCTGTGTGAACTGCTCCTTGCCGGCTGCGTCGTCTTTGTCCGTCTCCAACTGGGCCAGACGGGCCCGGGAGCGGCTGGCCGGACGAGCAGATACTGGGGGAGATGGGGTGTGTGAGAGGGGGAGAGAGGGGAGAGGGAGGGAGGGAGGGAGGGAGGGAGAGGGAGAGAGGGAGGGAGGGAGGGAGGGAGGGAGGGAGGGAGAGGGAGAGAGAGAGAGGGAGGGAGAGGGAGAGGGAGAGGGAGAGGGAGGGGGAGAGAGGGAGGGAGAGGAAGAGTAGGTAATTGGGAGAATACCACAGGTGAGGTGAGCCACAGGCGCACACAGCTAGAAGTGCTCACTTCCCCTACCTGCAGTCCCCCTCCCATTTGGCTCGTTTACCTCCACGACAGCCGTGGCCAGTACGAGTCGGCCGGTCAGTCTACATTACACAGTGACAAGATTGGATATTGCTGGAAACACAAGCGCCCCTAGCGGCCTACGGCCCTTAGCGCCGGCATCATGAGCTAAGCAGCCCGTCCAACCGACTCACCAGGCACTAGCGCCTCTATCGGCTAATCTACAAACTAACCACCAATACCACCGATAGCACTAGCGCCTCCATCGGCCAACGTACAAACTAAGCACCCGCCCCGACACCATAAGAGGCAAGAGCCCCTAGCGGCGGCACAAACTGTATCACAAATTTCATCACCAACTGACCGGTGTCGGCGCCGGCGTCACCAGCGCGAGTGGTGACCGTCACCAGCTGCGAGGTGGTGAACTGAGCCAAAATGGCGCGCCGGCGGGCCGGCCAGTCGTCCGCTGGCGCGCCAGAACGACGATCCGGCGCCGCCTGCCGAAGGTCACGTGGTGTTACCGGTGTTGGCAAGCTGTGATCACGTGACTACACGGGCTGACCGATGAGTGTCATGGCGGAGAATAGTGAATAACAACAATATTGAAAGTGGAGAGATTTGAGAGCGCGGGATGTCTTCCGAGATTACGTTCTTAGGCTGATTATCTTATCATTTCAAGACACAAACTTCAAATAGAACATGTAATAGCGTCTCTCAAGAAGCACCATCTCCGGTGATGTATGACGTCACAGCTGACCTGCTCGGGCTCCTGGGCGATGTCGAGGGCGGCCAGCGCCGACAGTGGGTCGCTGCCCTCCATCAGCCGGGTCAGCGGATCGCCGACACTAGCGCCACCATCCGGCCGACTGGTGGCGCCACCTACACCACCCGCCTGACGAGGTAGGGGCGGAACGTGAGCGTACGGCCCACCATCGCTTCTCCAGGTCTTTGGAATCGGGGTGGAAAGGGATTTTTATTCTACATCGACAGTTTTTCACATTAAGGCTCAGAATTAGTGTTATGCAGGACCAAAAAATATCACGTTACAAGTCATTTATTTCTACCAAGTGGTAAGCAGTAAACAACACTGCTGTCCATTTATCAACAGGCTGAAGGATCAAATAAAAATGGCAACTACTTAATATTTAATATTTCATGACCTTTTAACTTTGAATTACATCCTATAAATGTGATGCACTAACATTTACGCTGGTGAGTGGATGGATGTCTGTCTTTGCCGCATAAGGCACGGTCCTCTCTGCCCTGTAGTCTTTTACACGGAAGTAGCTGAAATTGAGTAAATGAGTGTCAGTTTTGAAGAAAGGCAAAATAACGCAACAAGTTCTTAGAAAATGCAGGAAATATGTATATTGATAGGTACCTACCTATATCTATGTAAAACACTTCAACTGCTAAATAATTATCTGTTCTATTCAGTTTCGTGTCTGGATGATAATTGATTTATTACAGTTGTGGTTAAAAAGAAGTTTGTTTAACTTGGAACCTGGAGCACAGCTTCAGTAAACAAATTCTACAGAACTGTGAGGAAGGTACCTACTTTAAAGAAAACAGCAATGAACTATCTAAATGAGTTACTTTGGTAAATAGATAGATTGCTTACACAAAAGACCCTAGCACCTTGCCTACTTACTCAAACTTAATCAATACAAATACACAATGCTTTCAATTCAATGTTTTGTAAGAATAAATACATCAATCCTTACCATTTGACGTTTTCTGCATTTGATTCCTCCATTTTCCTCAACTATAAATACAAGACTTTTATTTAGGCTGGGCACTGAACTCTATAGGCTGGGTATCAGCAAAAAGTCACGACTTTTTAGTTAGCACCTTTAATACCTATATATCTGCGATAGAATATTGCAACTTTCCATATGAATACCAAAATATTTGCTACACGGTACCTATATAGAGAACTAATTTGCTAATGCTTTATGTATAGCTTCAAGCAACAATAACAAAGGCGGCCAATGTTTGTCTCTACGAAGCCAAATATGTAAAACAGGAATTACACCAGATCAAGCTCACTGCTACCAAACAAAGTAACAACTTCACTTTACATTTTCCCGTCAATTATTGGTAATTTGAAACAGAAAGTACCTTATCTTGATAGAACTGTTCATTGCTCTGGTGTAGAATAACAAAAAGACGTATATTGAGGCACAGAGCAGCATGTTTTAATAAATCCTCTTCAGCGCTTAGATATGTAGGTAATCTTTCTCATTTCTGTATATTTCAATCCCTCAGATGACGAAGACCAGAGGGCTTTGAAACCCGGCGGTTGGATTTATTAAAGTATGCTGCTCTGTGCCTCAATATACGTCTTTTTTGTACGTAATCTTGATGCTGAAACCGCACCGCCAGCGCCACCGTGCAATATGCTTAACCCGCGCCCTGCTGGGGGGTGTTTGAACACCCCCCTTGTGGTTTTTCGGAAATATCTCAAAAACGGCGGCGCAGAGCGCCGCCGTTTTTGGTACATTTTATCATACATCAATTCTACACATGTTGTGAAAATTTCAGACCAAGGTCATTCAAGGTCAGGTCACCAGGTCACTTGAAGTGACCTCACCTCATAAAAAGTTTCAATGTCTGCCATTGCTACACCGAGTGACCGATCGCTTTGAAACTTTCAGCGATTGATAAGAGTAACAGTATCTATAAAATGTATATCTCAGAATTTTGATATCGGTGACCTAAGGTCAGGTCAATTTTGCGACCTCCCCATTATAAGTCAATGGGAGAAAATTGAAATGCGCCTCTTTTGGACGAAACACATTATAAACACTCCCAAACACTGAATTACAAGTGGTTTAAACACACTGAACATGAAAATGGTGTCCGTGACCCCTATTTATGCCCCTGAGGTCATCTCAGGTCACGAATGGTGTCTAACAGTTTTTCGCAAATAACTCTTGATAGAGGCATGCTAGAGCGATGAAAACGCCTTAGATGTGTTCAGCTCGACGATACGGATCGACTGATATGCAACATGACCTTTTCCGGTCAGGTCATGACCTTGACGTGAGGTCAAATTTTCAAGTTGACCTTTCAAGGTCAAGATATAGTTAATTCGATGCGTCTTGACGAGAGAAACACGATGCCGGTAAAAGTAAGCTCGTACAAGGCTTGGGTCAAAAATTATTGCAGAAAAACTGTTTCCGAAAAAATCGGTTATTTTTGCAGTTTTTGCCCCCTGCAGGCAAAACCGTTGACGTTAGGTCAAATCTGAGAGAACTACTCAGAAAGGGCGCTAATAGGGCTATCGAATGCACTTTTCCGCGGCGCTTTAGCTCTATTGGTTCCCGAGTTATGCGTTGGCTTCCTGGAAATTGTCGACATTCGACCTGAAAATCGGCGAAATTTTGCATTCAATGACTTCTGGTTACCTGACCTTTGACCTGACCAAAAAAGTGACTGAAGTGATTTCGTCATTATTTTTGGCGCTCTTTCCAACGCCGCCTTCTGCGTATCGCTACGTGGCCCAGGAGCCGATTTAGAGGGGGGTGTTCAAACACACCCCCCCCCCAGCAGGGCGTGGAAATCCAGGACCCCCAGCCGGGCGCGGGTTAAGTGTGAACCGCGAGCCATGCGGATGAAGGAGTCCCTATTCCCTGCGTGAGCCGAGGCCCAGATTAACTAAGGTCAATGCCATTGCCCAACGCCCAAGCTAAGTCTGACGTTTTGGGATGACGTCATCTTCTGTAATAACTTTTTAAACAACCAGCTTGTGTTACGTTACTTTTATTGGCATCACAATTCTCTCATCGAGACACGCCGAATGAACCATACCTATAAGCTGACATGAAAAGAAAATCTGAAAATTTGACCTCAGGTCAAGGTCACAGAAAAGGCCATGTTGCATATGGGTCGCCAGCAGCGGCGGAACACCCTCAAGCAAGGGGGGGGGGCACTGCCGACTTTAGGTCCCATTCTTTCCATGCAACGCCCATAGGGCTAATGTTAAAATGCCAAAATCAAAGGGGGGCACGGTGCCCCGGTGCCCTCCCCGTTCCGCCGCCTATGTGGGTCGATTCAACTTGCTTGAGGTCCTCATGACCCAGCCTGTCCTCTAAGCCCTAAAGTAACAGTGAAAAACAGAATATTTTGGGGGGGGGGGGCATGAAGAGTGTTAGGTAAAACCTTAGGCCTACTTCAAAAAGGAATAGGTTCCTCACTATCTCTTCTAAATATATCTCTGAAATGTTAATTGTTGTCGCAAAATATTTTTTTTCATCATTTCCTCCAGTGGGCCAATTTTGCCCGCAGAAAAGCTATTGCTCCTATCAACCCCCCCCCCCCCTCCACCTCGGGCTATACGGCTGAAGTGAGTGCCCGACAGCACTTCTGCAATCTACATAGACTGGCGCAGCTGGCATTGACACCCCAGGCTGTAAATAATTACCAATATAGGCTTATTTCATGAAGAGGCACCTTCAAATCGTATCTTTTGAAAATAACTTTAAGAATAAATAATTCTACACTTATTTTTTTCTATTGTTATCCATCTTTAATAATATACTTTTAGTCCACTTCTAAAGTTTTTTCGGTTGTTGTGTGTATGTATTGTGAATGACATAAGCCAGTACCTGCCCAAAGGGATATCTCGGTCACTTGCCACGCATACACAGTCGCCTTGCCTGCTGTACGTGGCATCATTACCTACGGCAATGCTTTCAGAAGGCAACGAACATAAAAAGGTCGCCGGAGACGATCGCTGAAAATGCACGAGCAAAAACGATGGCACGGCGCGTGCGGCAGCGAAGCGTCACACCGCCCGCCCATTCAGTCCGTGCCGCCGCGGTTGCATGACATCGAAAAAGAATGAGGCGGCAGATTGGGTCGTTTTTATTAGCAGAATATATTCCGTGAACTAGATTTGAACGCTTATTTACCTTTGTCCTTTACATTGAACACGTGAAATGTTACTGGTAGCTTATTGCCGTGGTGACTGTAATAGTGCAATAAAATCCTTTGAATTACTGAATTTTGGATTACAGCAAAGAACGAACACGAATCATTTCATCTAGTCTGCGTGCTCTCCCGATTCCGTAAAAACAGCCACCCATTCATTACATACCCATTGTGACGAGTGATGACGTCACCAACAAAAAACGGATGACGTCAGTCGCCTGAAGCAATGCGTGTGCCTTATGCCGGGAGGGGGGGGGTCATGTCAGGGTCACTAGGTCAGCCGCCGGTACGGAGAGAGGTCTGGAGGCAGGCGGCAGTTGGTGACTCGGGGATGGAGGAGATGGTAGCACCAACGAAAGGGAGCACCAACAGGAGGAACGATACGGTGGCACCTGCGAGAGAGACCGTAGCACCAGCGAGAGACTGACGGCTACACCAACAGAAGACTGAAGAGAGACAGTGGCACCAACAGGAGAAACGAGACGGTGGCACCAATTGGAAGAGAAGCTGTAGCACCAACAGGAGAGAGACGATAGCACAAGGAAGAGAACAAGACTGTGGCGGCAAGAGAAACAAGACTTTATAAGCAAGAGGATTGAATACAGAAAACGAGAGATTGTGCAGTGTGCACCGCCTTCGATTCGTCCCAAGGCTGTGACCACGCCATTTATCTCTTTTCTCCCAGCTAGCTGGAAACGACAGACGATGCTTCCGTCCATCGGACTGGCGATGATAATCAGACTGTTCTGCACTACGAGTGTCTCCCGGACTTTGGCGACAGCTCATGCTGACGTGGGAGCGAGGCCTGCCGTGGTACAACAGCGTCAGCAATTTGAGAAGCTACAGCAGCAGCGGCAGCAGCACCAACTAGACCGTAAGGATCTCAATCAGCAGCACCACCTGCAGAAACATGAAAATAGCTCCCTCGGTCACCATCATCACCATCCTCGTCTCCAGCTTCACCATCAGCACATTCAGTTCCACCACCTCCACCACGTCCTGCAGCATCGCCTCCCCCATGTGCTACAGCACCGGCAGCAGCCGGCTCACATCAGGCTGACCCGCAGCCTGGAGGACCGGTCGGACGGTTCAGTCCCAGAGCACCTCCGGACAGCCTGGTCCACCTACTCCCCACTCTACCCGGCAGAGGCAGAGCGAGGAGCATACTTCCCGGCCAGGGTGCTCTGTAGGTGAGAGACTGGCGACGTTGATGTTGGTAGGTATGCGATGGGTGATTTCGGACAGGGAGATTGCTGGTCAAATGATTACAGCATCGAAAGCAGACACTATTGGTAATTGTCGAGTAATTTAGCATTGCACCTCATTATCTATCATGGAAGAATAGCACCTCGTAACGCACTTCAATTTTATTATAGATACTTGGAAGCTTATATCACTTTAGTTGTGCTTGCCCATTTAGCTCCCGTACCATAAATTTCCTTTTCCAGAGTATTCACTGCGTATAAGATCCCCAGCGAACCATGTTCAGCGTTATAGTCTTTCAAATTGCTAAACAAATTAATACTTTCTCAGGTACTTCTGCCCTCGTTCGGACTATCAGCTCTACCCACCCAAACACTGGTACTATTGCTGTCTTCCCGGTGCTGCAGGGGCTACACACAGTAAGTCCAGAACCTTCCGGGAATGTTACATGGGACTGAAAGCGAATAGTAGGCTGAAAAATGGGCATCAGGCAACAGGTTGATTTGATTGGATTAGTGTGAAAAGCAACTAAGATGTTACTAATGACATGTGGCCTCATTCGAATGTTGTCAGCTAATTGAACTTTCGCTGATTTTCGGCACTACTTAATTGTTAGCTAACTAAACATATTTTATGATTTTTTTAGTTATGTACTGACGATCTATCTCACCGTAACGTAATGTGTATGTAAATGTCCCTCTACCTGTTCCCGTTTCAGTGGAGTGCCCCTCCCAGACCAGCGGTTGCCGGTCCGGTGACCCCGTGACCCCGGAGGTCACCCTGGAGGTCACGGCACTGCTGACCTGCTCGTACGACTCCCAGTGTCCCACCCACCGTGACCTGTGCTGCTACGATGTCTGCCATAGACGGAACGTTTGTAAGAGGGCGGTGCTCTCGTTTGTTCCCCATAAATGGTGAAATATGAGCACTGTAGTAGGTATAAAGGTCAAATTGGTGACAGAACTGTGCAATGGCCAGTGTGAGAAGGGTGCGGAATACGACAAAGCGTGTGATGACTGATGTGTATTATTAGATGTTTTCCTCGACCCCATGCCAAGCCGGCTTGAGTATAAAAATCTGATATCCAGCAAACCACGCCAGCATCATCCTTATAAATGGATGTTGCTTAATTTACAGACGATTGCTTTGCCATTGGTGAATAACTTGCACTCATTGAGCCTCACCATTGCAATAGCTACAAGAAGTATTGTTTAGTGCAAACGTTATCTTTGAGCGTTTCTTTATTAGTTGAGTTGAGTCCCAGCCAAACAACAACACTTTATCACCGTCCATTCACCAGTATAGCGCTTTTTGGGGCGACTAACGGAGCGAGCGACAGGGTGGGCCTTGCACGTGCGAAATTGCGAGGGGGTACCTCCAACTGACTTGTGCACGGCACCCTATTAACCGGTTTCTGGCGATGTGCCAAATTTGAGCACAATCGGCCCAGCCGTTCTCGAGATCTGGAAGCGGCACCCTGCACGTGCACACGTGCAAAATGGGTCCCGACTGACTTTTGCACGGCACCCTACTAACGGGTCCCTATCAGTGTATGTACCAAATTTGAGCGCAATCGGTCGAGCCGTTCTCGAGATCTGGAATCGACCCCTGCACGTGCGCACGTGCAGCAGCACCCCAACTGTGGTACATGGATATGCATTGCCTAGTGGGTGCCTACTGCCTACCTAAATGCCAACTTTCAGCGCAATCGGCACAGTAATTACCGAGATATTGCAATTGTTGAAAACTGACACCTCTTTGTTTTGCACGTGGCACGTGCATAAGGGGTCACCCACATGCATCGGGAATAGTCTAATACTTGGTAGAAGGAATGAATTTACCCTACAAAAATTACCGCGTGTAAATCGGTCAAGTGGTTGCTGAGATATATGCGTTGCAAAAGCGTCCGCACGGCCGGCTGGCCGCTCATACTCAGAAATTTCCGTTAACCCGCGCCCCGCTGGGCTATTCAGCCATACGCGCCCTGCTGGGGGGGGGGGGGGGCAGATTCTGCCCCCCTGTCTAACTTCCGAACCGATGGTCGTAGAAAGACGGGGAAAACGGCAATCGAAAGCTCTCAACAAGGCGGATCTAAAGAGCTCATATTTTTTGCTTAAGTAGGTCAGAGGTCAGGTCAAGGTCAGGTCAAGGGTACAAAATGTAAGTTTCTACAGTATCGGCCTTGCACCGTAGTTGCCGGAAAATGGACTGAGACTGATTGCCCAAAACCTGTTCTTAGACTACCAAGACAATATTCGTTGCATAAAATGTCATTCAAAGGTCAAGGTCAAGGTCAGGTCAGGTCAGGTCACCAAAAACAAAATATAGAAAAAGGCATGTGCGACACATGTTTTATGGGTCATTTTACTCATAGAATTCAATAGGCACACTCAATAAGTGATATGGACCACCTCTGGATGAATTTCAGGTCGAGGTCAGGTCAAGGTCAGGTCAAGTGAGGTCAAATTTTGAAGCTGGTTGTTAAGGCCTACAAAGGTGTCTATCTGATGCAGTTTTTCACGGCGAATCGAATGGTGCTATTTTTGTTTCCGTACGAGGTCTAGAACTTCCAAAAAATCATTTTTTCATTTTTTTTGTGTTTCGTGACGTCATAAAATTTTGAATAACTCCCACATTTTTGAACCGATTTTTCTAAAAATTGGTATATAGTTGCACATAGACTACTTCTCTGACATATATTCCGGTTTTTTCGATACACTCAAAATTTTGGATTTTATAATAATTTTCCCAAAAAAGTCAGTTTAAAAAAAAAAAATTGGGCCAAAATCCAAACTTTTAAAAACCGAGATAGCCATTTGATAGACAAAGTAGAATCACGTATAAACTTTTTGTTACGTCTTGATTCCTTTAAAAATGAAAATGTTAGCGGCGTTTGAAATTTTGCCGTTTTTGAGGCGAAAATGGCGAACATGACGTCACAAAAAACGTCAATTTCTCAAAAATTTTCCAACGGATTTCGCTCAAATTTTCAGGGAACGTGTCAAATCGATGTATGATAAGGTACTGAAAGTTTGACGTCGCTGGCGTAACGCGTTTAGAAGTGATTGGCAAAAAACGGGAGGGGGGCAGATTCTGCCCCCCCCCCCCCCCCAGCGGGGCGCGGGTTAATCTAAGGAAAGACTCCGCTCGCTCCGTAAAAAACACCGTCATTTATATTTCGGCGAGAAGAGGAGAGAGGAACAACCACAGAGTGGCCTCTGATTCCGCTAATTATAGGAAAACCATGAGGGTAGATGCCGATATGTGGGCAAAACAACTTGTTAAACAATCATGCAAAATCGTTCAAAAATACGACACAAATGAAGAGCGTGACGTTTTTCTAATGAAATATTGACAGATGAGAACTCGAGTCGAGCCATAGCAGACCCGGGGAACACTTACTGTAGTGGTACCCTTTGAACATGTCCATCCCTGATTGGCCCGAGAACTGTAATTTCAGAGCAGCGGGGTTCTCGACATACACCGCGGCGACGTAGCTGAGCACCGTTCCGGAATGAGCGGAGGTGCTGGTAGCAGAAGAATATAATAAAATAAAATACTGGTCACTTCTTATCTGCGACTTGTCTTCAGGACGTGCTAAATGCTACTCATGGACTATTTTGTAATAAGAAATTACACCCCAAAATATACTCTATGACCATGCGTGCTCATTCGCTTTCTGCCAGTCCCAAAATGCTATCTATTATCGTGTGTTTCGTCTTAACAAGTACCTAGTGCTATTGTTGCATGCTCGGCTGCAGTCTCCAGCGTGCTATTGTTGTAACTTGTATGCTGTGATGTAGTCTCCAGTGTGTTATTGTTGTATGCTGTGCTGCAGTCTCCAGTGTGTTATTGTTGCATGCTCGGCTGCAGTCTCCGGTGTGTTATTGTCGTATGCTCGGCTGCAGTCTCCAATGTGCTATTGTTGTAACTTGTATGCTGTGCTGTAGTCTCCAGTGTGTTATTGTCGTATGCTCTGCTGCAGTCTCCAGTGTGTAATTGTTGTATGCTCTGCTGCAGTCTCCGGTGTGTTATTGTCGTATGCTCGGCTGCAGTCTCCAGTGAGTTATTGTCGTATGTTTGGCTGCAGTCTCCAGTGCGTTATGATCGTATGTTTGGCTGCAGTCTCCGGTGTGTTACATCAAACTGAACGATGCCGTTGTAAATAAATTTTCAAGACCGCACCGCAGTCCTTCCTGGATTTTTGAGCGAGGCCGAGCTCTCTCTCTCTCTCTCTCTCTCTCTCTCTCTCTCTCTCTCTCTCTCTCTCTCTCTCTCTCTCTCTCTCTCTCTCTCTCTCTCTCTCTCTCTTTCTCTCTCTTTCTTTCTCTCTCTCTCTCTCTCTCTCTCTCTCTCTCTCTCTCTCTCTCTCTCTCTCTCTCTCTCTCTCTCTCTCTCCCTCCCTCTCCCTCTCGCCTGTTACGCTGCTGTTTTACCGATGCATATTTTTTAATAAAACTATACTTTTATCACTCACACCTCAATTAAATTGATTCCTGTATGTTTGATGCAGTCTTGCAATGCAATCCAGCCATCCAAGAAACTTTGCGCGAGACGTTTTCTTGGATGGTTTTCTTGGATAGCTTGTTCATCGAGGGCTTCTGTTTTAAAGAAAATTTGTAAGCTTTGCTGCACTGTTAAGTAATTAGAACTGCCAGTATTTCAGTACCTAACGTGTAGTTAATGTTACTGTATTTTATTTATGCATATTTCGGCCTTTTTTAAGCAGATAACGACCGATATTAAGAAACATACAGGAAATAATATCTAGGACTCTACCGCGACGAAATATTTCTGTCTCGAGTTTTCGCGGTATCGTCCAAGAATGTATATTCTGCCTTACATCACAATCTACTGATCAATTGATTAAGAGACTCATTCCGGAAACTCGCAAAAAAAATAATAATAATAAACGTTATGCGCATCCTGTAACTTTGACAGAAAAGGCACCAAAACTCGCTTGGGATGAGATACCCATCTGTCCAGTGTTCACACACAAAACATCCCTTTCGACGTGTATGTATTTCAAGAGACATCACTGACAAACAGTCCACAGGAAAAGTTCCAGAAAGACGAGCTCGCCTGAGCAGTTTCGAGCTCTCTAAACAAACGATGCCGGGTTGGCAATCTGTGCTGACTCCGCACTGACGCCGTCCACAACGAAAGCCTGGCCGTCTGTCTGTACGACACCGGATGTAGCTGCGTTGGCACTGAACGAGCTACCGGCGCTGGAGCCCTGCGAAAGACAGCACGCGCGTCACACACAGCAAACGGACAAGATGAAAAGAAAACAGCTCGCTCCAGCTTGCTTAAGTGCTCAAATTCTTTAACTGTGTTACTGTTAAATAAATCTGCAGGAATTTGGTTTCTGAGTTATCGAGCAACGCACTGCAAAAATCATCAAATGAATCAAAGCGTTAGTAAATCGGGATTGATAAAATCAAACTAAGTATCATCCTTAGAAGCGATGTTTGGAATTTGTAAATACAGATACTCACCGAGGCTGTCACGCTAAATGACGTACTGACGCCTCCTTTATCATCTGATCCAAAGTTGCTGGCAAAGGCGGCATCTCCTGTGGCCATGTTGGCATCACCGGCTTCCACCACGACGGTCTCATCTCCTTCAGCTTCGACAGGACCCAGTCCGGAGGCCTCGAGGTGGTCGGTGGGCATGGCCAGGACGCAGGAGGCCAGCAGCAGCAGCAGCAGGGACGTCGAGGGGCTCATGGTGATGGCGATGGTGGCAACAAAGCTGAAAAACAATAGTGAGCATCAATGACTAGTTAGCTTGAGTTTTTTTCCATAACTTGGCTTAGACATAAGAAAAAAGTTAGGCCTGCTACCCAGACTGCATCTTCACAACCACTTTTTCAAATCATCTCCGGTTAAAATCACCGAAAAATATAAGATAAAACTTTGATGCTGCAATATTGATAACCAACAAGCAAACATAACACCGTGCACCCTAACACACAACTCATTAAACCCTAATGGAACTCTCCACACCGTTACGCACAGTACAGTTATTTTACAGATTTTACAGCTCTACAGTTACATGTATAATTTAATTTGCTGCCCCACTGCCATGTGAGAGCCTAGCAGCCACGTCGACCGAACACACATACCGACAGCAGAGAAGATGAAGCAGCACTAGCGAGCTCCGCTTCCCCAGGATAAATGATGAGACGGGGCCGGCTGCCGGCCCTTATATGGACTGGTCTGAAATGACCCGGGGCGCACCGCGAACACCTGCCTTTCTGGGCCGGGAAAGAAAGGAAGGGGTCTGCTTCTGCTGCTGCTGCCCGTGAGCTGAGCAGAATAATGACGCAAATTGGGCTTTTCAGACAGAAAGGCAAATTTATGGCTTCGCATTTCTTATGTTTCATTAAACAGCCCCCGCTTGCAAATGTCTCAAAGTTCAAACGATATAGCTCCTGTGTCGAATAAGCGGAAGCTGTGTTTTGAATTGCGGCACCAGAACGCATTTAATGTTTGAACATTAAACACATATTTGGGTGAATTCGAAAAAGCAAAGCTGTCTGGTATTTAGGTATGTCTCAGGAAGAGGTCGCCGTGTAATATGCATGTGCTAGGTAGGAAAAAGAAACTTATTTGCAGATGTGTTGGTTAGGAAACATGTTTTCATTGTACTCAAAGCAGAAAAAAAAACAGAATTAGATCAGAAGGTCCTACCGAAACCGTGACCGAAAATTCATCACTTTTTCGTGTATTTACATATATTATCGAATAGCAACGAATACCAACGAATAAATACTTAACCTTTTTATATATTGTTCATTTCAAGGAGGTCTGGGGCCGTATTCACGTCGATCATTTTCGTAAGAATTTTCTTAAGTTTGACCTATTTCTTAAGCAAATTTTTTTATTCACGTGAACTCCGTCGATAAAAACTTAAGAAGTGTCGACGTGAATACCAAATTATACTTACGAAAGAAAATCGACTTACGAAGTCGACGTGAATACGGCCCCTGGTCATTAAAACTTGTATATTATGAAACTGTCATGCTCCTTGCTCAATGCTCAATCACTACAGAGATTAAAAAACATCAAGTTATCCCTCGCCGGACCTATTGGTTTTCCACATACGCGCCGGCCGAGAGGGCGGGGTACGACCCTCCTCGCCGTTTTACCCCTGGTGGAGCTAGCGCGTCGCGGAGGCTAGCGCGTAGGTGGAGCTAATGACGTCATAAATGACGTCACGCAAGGTCAACATTGCACAAATGACGCATCGAACCTTGCAAGGAGTGCACGAAATCACGATGATTCTATGTGCTTGAGATAGTTGGAGATCGTTCCCGGCGCCAGAATAGCAGCTTTCATATTTCCCCATTGACTTATAATAGTGAGATCACGAAAATGACATGACCTCATATGACCTTTAGGAAAAATACGAAATATACAAGTTGTGAGACTCCTAATGGATACTAGTTGCGAAGTTGTGACATCTGAAGACCGTGCAGAGATTCACTTATGACGTCATAGGTCAGTGACCTGACCTGACCCGAAAATGCGGTTGGTGTCAAAACTAAAAGATTCGGCTTGAATCAAAGGTCAGGTATGCCAAGTTTCAGCTCTCTCTCCTTTTCTCTCTCTCTCTCTCTCTCTTTCTCTTTCTCTTTTTCTCTCTCTTTCTCTCTTTCTCTTTCTCTCTCTTTCTCTCCCCCTCTCTCTCTCTCTCTCTCTCTCTCTCTCTCTCTCTCTCTCCCTCTCTCTCGCGTCCAGGCGCGATGGTTTGCGTCGGTCGGGTGTGGGACTGTGGGAAGCCCTAACGTCTGCCGGGGAAGGGGGAGGGGTGGTCCCAGCTGAGGACTGGTGGAGGGGGGGGAGCGGGCTGATTGGAATCTGGGGACGGGCGTGGGGGCAGCGAGGAAGGGTGGGAATGTGGGGTGGTGTCCGAGTGACTGGGACGGTTGGGGAGGGAGGAAGGGAGGGGGAGGTAAGTCAATAGAGACCGCATCTCGGCCCGCACCATGTTTGTGCGACCCTGCTACCAGCCCAGATTTTCACCTCTTCCGGCCCATAATAGCCTCTACTGCAAGCTAAAAATAGTCTCTGAGACAGGCCCTCCGTGTCCTCTGCCGCTGACCTGAAATAGCCTCCCTGTGGCCCATCCACAGCCACCCTGTACGCGACCGGAGCTGAGTATCAGTGGAGTCTGCGGCTGCGCTGGTCGTGAGGCCGTATTGCCCGCGAAAACACAGTGGCCAGCTGAAACCTGACTCCATTTCCGTGTGGAGAGTTGACTTGTTAGCCGTTTTCACGGCGGACTACCCGGTGAATGCACCTAATTTGACCAAATATTTACCTTATCAGCTTTGAAAAATATTCATATCATGATATCATGAATTTATTTCAGTGTTTTAACCCACGCCCCACTGGGGGAGGGTCTGTTCATAGCTCCCCTTTTGTTTTTCTGTAGTAACGTCTAAACTGCTAGACATATCGACGCGAAACTTTAAGTACCTTCGGCTGCATCAATTTGGCACCTTGTGTCTAAATATGCACTTCGTAGCTACCATAGGTCGGCCAGAAATGACGTCAGAGTGACGTCATGTTCGGCCGATTTCGATACAAAACATTTAACTGCGGTAATTGCTCTCAAGAGCTCAGTTTTTAAGCTAGATCCAATGTCTTTGCTTGAGAAGACTCAAAATACCTATACTATGCTATCAAACTGTTATATTGGATTTTCAAAATCTTTTAAATTTTGAAAATTATTTATATTCAATTTCAAAATGTAGGACGCCCATGATATACTCCAGACAGACGCCCATGATATACTCCAGCAATTTTTAGACAGATATCTAAAAAAGCCACGTTATACGCATCATAGCAAAAAATTCACTATCATGATTTTTTCAATTTTTTTTTTTCAGTACGTATTTGACATCGCATACCGATGTAAAAAGCACCATCGTGTTCCTGAGCTCGAACTGCATCCGATAGTTACCTTTTTTTGCTGAAAAATTTATGTTTTGAAATTTGACATTTTTTAACCTTGAAGTGGCCTATCCTCAGCTAAATTAACCCTCGCCGGACCTATTGGTTTTCTACATATGTACGCGCTGGCCGAGGGGGGGGGGGGCGGGTACGACCCCCCTCGCCGTTTCGCTCCTGGTGGAGCTAGCGCGTCGCGGAAAAAAACGAGCGTGTGAGCGTGAGCGCCGTTACGAGACGCAGAGATTGGTACCCGATTTTAAGGTCCTAGGTCAACTGGTGACCTCTGAGGTCACGTCAAGTGCCCCAAGGTACGGTTCAGTTTTTGGTGAATTACTTCGCAAAAAAACGGCCGCAGAGCCGCGATTTTGGCACCATCGTGTTTACCTCGCTCAGGTGCGTCGAATGATATACTTTTTGTTCGGGTCAGGTCAACTTGGGGTGTTGACCTCAGGTCAAGGTCAGGTCAGCACCCCCAGGTCACGAAGTTGGTCGAAAGAGGTCATGTCGCATATCATTCGATTTGGCAGGTCTTCCTGAGTCCATTGGTGGCTTCCCCGACTCGCTAGCTCAATTTGATCAAAAGTTATTGACGAAAAACTAATATGACCTTGATGACGTCATAAATGACGTCACGCAAGGTTAACATTGCAAAAGTGACGCATCTAACCTTCCAAGGAGTGCATCAAATCACGATTATGTGTGCTTGAGATAGTTGGAGATCGTTCCAGGCGCCAGAATAGCAGTTTTCATTTTTTCCCCTTGACTTATAATAGTGAGGTCACGAAAATGACCTGACCTCATATGACCTTAAGGAAAAATCCGAGATATACAAGTTGTGAGACTCATAATGGATACTAGATCCCGCAAGTTTCATTTCCCTGTGACATCTCCTCTGGCAGTGAGGGCGTTGCGAAGTTGCGACATCTGAAGACCGTGCAGAGGTTCACTTATGACGTCATAGGTCAGTGATCTGACCTGAACCAAAAATGCGGTTGGTGTCAAAAGATCCGGCTTGAATCAAAGGTCAGGTATGCCAAGTTTCAGCTCTCTATCCCCAGCGTGTTCGGAGCTATCGCGAGGAAAACCCTATGGGGGGAGGGGGGCGGCACCCCCCACCCCCTCGACCGGCGAGGGTTAAAGTCAAAATAACCTCGAATAACATAAACGACACCGAATTCGAAATCTATGGTTTAAATGGACCATAAAACATGTGTTACGTAACCGATTCATGATAAAAGATTTCCGTGACCTGTGATGAACTGACCCTGACCTGGAAATCGAAGTAAAAGTTTGATACCCTCAGGGTATCTAAAGCATCTGTTCACAAGTGCGTAAACCAAAAATAAGCCCTTTTTGACATGTTAGCCGGCGGCCAGAGCCCAAAATGTGAATACGGCAAACATCGATAATTTTATCTTTGACCTGACCTGTGACGTCATCGGTGACCTCGAGGTCAATGAAATTAGGTTTCGCCCAACGGTTTTTCTGGGGCTATCAGAAGTCATTTGAATTTTGACAATCTGCTAGCCCCTTCCCCCCCCCCCCCCCAGTAGGGCGTGTTATACATACGCAGACCCCAGTGGGGTGCGGGTTAATCGAAAATAACGTCCAATAATGTGAAAAACGAAGGGTATGAGCATCTGTGGAACCCCAACTGATAACTTTTAAGAAACACAATGAACCTAATTTGCCCAATTCTACATTAAGTCTGCACCTAATCTGCATCAAATGTGTACCAGATGGCCGTCGTGAAAACAGCTATTATCAACATGATATTTGGTTAGGTATGCACAGTCACTCATTTAGCGATGTTGGACACGAACTATTGTATTTCCATAACACTAACCGACCGCCGCGCCTGACGCTGTGTCAAACCCGCCGTGCCACCGAACCCCCCCCCCCCGCCCCTCGCATCGCACACACCTCGTGATAACACCTGCCTCACTACCGCGGCGAAAAAATAGCCCCTGGCCGCGCCGCGGACGGCGGACAGGGCCCTTCTGGGACGTCCGCGAGAGGCCGGGAGCCGTCAAAACACCCCCCCCCCCCCCTGCGCGTGCGGCAGTTGGTGCCGGCCAGCCGTGTTTTCGTGCCGGCACAGAATGGTGTGAATCAGGTCAGACCACCCCCTGCACCCCGAGAAAGGACAGGGGTGACGCGGGGAAGTGGGTTGATCTATTTTTGAATGCTCCCTTTCACTGGCAGCCTAGCCTGGTCCTCTGCGCTAAAAATGAAAGAAAACGAATGTTATCCCTCGCCGGCCGAGGGGGGGGGCGGGTGCCGCCCCCCCCCCCCATAGGGTTTTTTCGCGATAGCTCCG